TGTTTTTGACAGCCTTTCATTCTTGGACTGGAAGGCTGTGAATCTATTCTTGTTTTCCCACAATAGGGAGGAGTTTAATTCTTTCACCAAGTCTTCTTCTTCTTCTTCTGCATTCATGCAGTTAGCACGATGTGTTGTGATTAACAGCAAATCTGTGATATTTGCAATTTTCCACTCAACACATCACATTTCAACGAAATCTCTTAATAATTTACCTTAAGCAAAAAATATGTTATGCCGAAATGGGTTTATTCTATCTGGTCCACCTCCTCCATACTGATTTAGCATTCGAATTGATCATTTTGTGTTTCACACTCAAATTTCTTTTCATTACCAACAATTTTATAGTGCTTTGAGGATTCTCTTACCTTTTGCGATTATTCCAATATCTCTATGTGCTACTTCATCTTTGTGCACATTTTTATCTACATATCTAACTAATTCTGCCTTTTGAAGTTTAGTTCCGCCCAGAAAGATTAGGTTATTTCTTGCAGGGGCAGGCGGGATATTCTTTATGTCCAGTATGATTTTAACATTAACCGTCACAATCAGACAAGTTAGTAATTAGTGATTAGAAAGGATTATCATCACAGCACTCGGGACAGATCCATAGGTGCTCCGATCTCCTCCTCAAAAGCTACACAAGTGTAAAACGACCGTTCACGCCTGTTCCATGTTGGTTAATGAAACGTCTTGTCCCCTTAGTGAAATGTTCGTTTCTTGCAGCTCCAGGCTGCACCCCCATGTCCATCAGTCTAGACAGGGATATGGAGTCATGTCCTTTGGTGTGCTCCTCAGTACGGCAAGTGCAGCGTATGGCATTGATAACATTACTTCTGACCAGCACTGGGCCAGCCATAGCAGCTGCAGTGTAAGCGAGATAGTCTGAAGGCTCCTTCCCTTGAACACCCGCATAACCTAACAAAGATGAAGGTTAGGGCTGATATTCGTGAAGTGCTTAGTGTTTCAATCCATTCTTGCCTGATAAATCCAGCTTGGATTTTTTAAAGCATATTCAGCGAGTCACTAAGAATGCATGTGTGTGAACTTTTGAGTACCAAGCCATGCAAAAGCTCTTGTTACAGCCAGTTTCCATTGTAAGGCTACTAGTTGTAACAGCAAAGGTGCCATTCATCTCCTTGATTGTTTTTCCCTTTGAGCTTACTGTGAAGACCCATGCACTTCACTTGCCCCTAAGAAAAGTCAGTAATCAAAAGCATGGTTTCTGAAGAAAGAGGCAGGGACCAACCAACATGATGGTGGGCATTTAAAGATCAAAACACCTACAGCTATGAAATTGCATGAGGAAGGGAAACTGGTGAATGAAGAAGAGTCTTTCAGTTGTTCATCAAGATGTTGATCTGCAAAGCTGCTACATGATTATCACAAGTGTGACTTTGTGGTGAAACTTGTCCCAGACAACTGGTACCAGATGATTTCCTGAAATTTCATGGAAGGAAAGGCAGAAGGAAACTAGTGACACCCACACTACAAAGCTGTGACCTAGTTTATGTATGTTTTAACAGTTCACACTTGTATGGCAATATCACCATGGGGTCACCTCTTACTATATCCCATAATAGTTTTGTTTATATTGTAGGAGGGAAGCTGCCGTACTGCAGCAGCTAGCAAGCGCTTGCCTGCCAAGCTACTAAGGGATATTTTACAAATTTATCCGGGGGTTCCAAGTTGATCCAGTCTAAAATAGGTGCCCGCAAGTGTCTTAGGAAGTTAATGGCTGATGTCCTCACTTTTAACCCAACTAATTTGATGCTTACATCACCCAACAAAGGCCAAACATCTAAGAATATGTGGAGCTATCATTACACACCCAGTATGCCCCTAGGTGTTAAAAAAGGCTCCTTTACTTTGTACTGTCAACATCATCCTACTGTGCCGTTATGTCATACAGGGCTTGTCCTTTTTTGTCCCCTATTCCATTGTATCCTCTGCAATCCTCTTAATATCATGGAGGGAATTCAGTCCAGCACCCTTCGCCTCTCTCGATAATGTTTGTCTCAGGGTTACTTTGTACTGTACAAGAATGGAAATTACTTTTTCAGACAATGTTGGTTTCTTTCTTAGTCAAAAACCTTCAACAGTGTGGATCTCTATGACGAAGTGCTCTGAAGATAGTAGGTTCGTTTCATAGCTGCATTCTTCAATTAACGAGTGAAGTTTTTACAGAGATTCCTAAGAATCGTCGCTAAAGCTACGAAGATTGCGCTTTGTGCAGCGCTCTCGTCAGGTGGCTATTGGTTCCACTGAGAGAGACCGAACATTATGGGATAAATCCAGTGCAATAAACTTGATCATCTTGACTTTAAAACTTCTACATTAATTACACCTTTACTTTTCAAGGTGGCTGAGCAGATGCTATAGAAAAAAGACAAATGAACATCAGTTATATAAAGCAATGATCAGCATTTGCTCAAACATAATCTGTACATATATTGAACCAAAACACAAAAAGTCCATCAACATATTTACATGTGAAACATGTCTAATCATTAAACAATCAGTTTATAATATTTTTTTCACACATTATTGAACAGATGCTTGAGCCAGCTTCATGCTGAGAAAAAGATTATGCAGCATCTTAGAGGGATCATGAAGCCACTCGGCAGTAATGCCAATCCTGAAAGTTACAAGTCAAGTATCTAGTAATTACGTGAATTAAAGTTCTCGCACAGGAGGTACACAGCAAGCTCAGACATGGAGGGACTTGAACACAGTGGATACCATCACAAATACATTTACTGATATCTAATGTCCGTGCTCACCAGAATGCAAAAATACACAAGCGTTGCACAGTGTCATCACCATTATGCAGTGGCAGGTAACAGCCTAAACTCAACGCACCATTAGAATTACTAACAGGCGGTGCTCAGGGGATGCAGACAAACAGTACCTCATCTACGTGGCTTTCAACCACAAGCATGAACACAAACATCTTCACAGTAGGAACATTCTCACACAACTGGGCTACCCCTTCGGGCGTTGTCTAGTTGATCTCATGTGACCGAGCTTTCACCCCGAGACACACAGTGAGTTTGCCAGTTATGCCCAGGGCTTGAACTAGACTCATGGTGACCCTGGCTTCACCTATGTTCATTGAGTCTAGACAGGCAAAGCCACAGGCCTGAGTGTTAACTCGGCATTTTCAACCCATCAACACAAGAATTTTCCAAAAATACTATTATATTTTCAATTAAATACAAATTTAATACACAATACACATGCAATACAATGATAAAAGCTGATTATCTTATCTTCTATGTACATATAATCATTCTGAAAGACTTGTCAATTGTTCATGTGATTTGAATCTTGTCTGTAACCGTATACATTTGCTAAAGCCTGCAGATAAACTAACTTTAAGGATACAATCATGATTAATTGCATCTACTATAAGTATCTTATTCCAGATAATAAGCATGAGGTCTACAGAAGCAGTATGGCTGTCAAATCATAAACATAATTTTCATTAATCTTTTTTATTACATTTACCATGAAATTTTTTTTAAAGTAAGGGAGTTAATACATCCCAACAAAGCAAGAACTGATTGCTTCTCTTCTTTCTGACCTTGATGAATGTGGTTTTGCTAATCTCTCTCTCTCTCACTTGTTGTACCCTACCAGGACATCACACAAGCGATAAACAACCGGTGACACAAAGTGCCACCATGCAGATGAGGATCACCCGTGCAGAGGTTCCATAAACCCCTTTCAACCGTTAGGCCATATTTATGGTCCAGCTATATTCAGGGCCCCAGGCAAAAGCCAGGGTGGGGCTTCAAATAACGAAAAATTGCATCCACATCGGCTCACTCAGCCACATGCAGCAAATTAGATTTTTAATTGTACCCTTAATATTCCCTCCACCCCCACATTTTTTGTTATATATAGTTATACCTACCATGTCTAAACATTATGTAGTTATGGCCAGTATAAAACTATTAAATAGGTATATTGGCCACAGTCTAAAGACTTCATATTAGCAAAAGCCAGTAAATGTAGGAAAAAATGGCTTTCTCCGGGTGACAGGGTTAAACTTCACCCAATACAAGCACATTGTTTTATCCACTATCTTGACTAACAATGTCTTGATTTAGCTTTTGACCTTTTCAACTACTTCTACCACCAATAACTTGACTTAGTTTTAAGACACTACCAACAAACTGCTTTTACTTTTAGCCGCACTCTGCCTCTGCTGTAAGCCTCTTCTATAACACACCTTTTCTTAGCCTTAAGCCCCAGACTGCAGAGTGTGAATATCTTTAACAGAAATGTCTCACAGAACACAACCTATGTCCAGTGAGTTACTGTCATCATTTCCTGTACTGTGCTTCGGTTAAAATCTTGGCACAATCAATACTTTTCCACTGCAATCGACAACCCAGACTTGAAGTCTGCTGGTATAATCAGTGTTACTATTACATCCAATACCTTGCCTTAGCTCTAAATATAATCTTGCTAACTTTTCTAGTAACTAGTCATTGCTTTCAGTCTTCTTCTTTTTTTTTTTGGAAGAAGATTTTGATTCTTAATTCAGTATTTAACATTCTTCTTCTTCACGTTAGTTGGCTGTAAACTCCAGTAGAAAATTCTGGTTGTTCATCCACTTCTGGACTCTAGTCCAGATCCAGAACTTGAGTGTTGAATGCATATCCACTTTACAGATCTGACACATTTGTATGCAGACTGTTGGTTTCTTGCATCACCGGCAGATGCACTTCAACTTTAAAGGAAGCTCCCAATCAGTCGACTCTTAAGACATGCTTTTGGGTAACCAGTGGGTCTATTCTTGCACCCCCTCCCCCTCCACCAAACTGGAGCCCCTGAAACCCACATGGAAAGCTCTGAGTCTAATTTTGCTGCCTCTTTCAGTACCTTGCCTTAGCTTTGAGTCTAATCTTGCTATCTTTTCCAGTTCCTTGGATGAGATTTGAGTTTAAAGGTACAATCTTGCTATCTCTTCTAGCACAAATTCAGTCTTGCTATTTGCTCCAGTACCTCGCTTTAGCTTTAAGTCCGAGAGAACGCAAGGGGTTATTACTTTCTGTATTAGACTTGGGCAAGCTCAGTAATCGCCTGAATGGAGAATATTCAAACAGAAAACTTTGGACTGCAGCAAAGGTCCCCGAGCTGATCCAGTACAGCACCATCGACTGAAATCAACAAGAAAACATTCAAGGTCAAATCTTGAAGCTCGGACAGTCAGAATTTAAAGTTGATTAGGGGAAACCATTCATTGTAACTAGTAACTTGCTTCTTTTTCTTCTTCTGCTTTTACCTTTAAAAGTGTGGTTGGCTTGTTGCACACAGCTAAGCTGTGATATCTGTGCCTTAATTCAGCAATTAATTCAAGATAATCTCGCTCAGAGGATTTGATCATTTACACAGACAGTTCAGTGTCAAGAGGCAAAACAAGTGCTTGGGGCTTTTTAGCAAAAGTTAATGGTCGACGTTTGGTGCAGGAGAGCCTAGCATATGATACCACAACATCCAGCTTAAGAATGGAGGTGGAGGCGGTCACTGCAGCTTTCCACTGGCTAGAGAAGACGACACACACACACACATCGTGATTGTAACTGATTCAGAAAGCATGCTGAGGAAGATCAAAACAGGTATGCTTCGTGCAAAGTGGCATGCTTCGCTGCGGAGGACACGAGTGAGTAGTATTGTGTGGATTTTTTCACCTGGTTACGCCGGTGTGTTGGGAAATGAACAGGCGGACAGACTGGTTGGCTCTGCACAACTTGGTGGAATACTGCTACATGTTAGGGCAGACGTGGTTAGTGCCTTGTGGGAGAGCGTGTACAATTCGGAGGAACAGATGGATCACCACAGTCTGGTGAGCTTGATGCAGTTGGGGATGACGAGAGGTTCTGGCAGAAGTTCGAGGCTCAGAGGAAAGGCAAGACGGACGTTTAATCAGAAAGCTACTGGCACCATTATTATCGGAACTCTGCTCTGGCTGCTGAAGATGAGGACGGAGCGCTTATGGGAATGCCCTGAGTGCTGTGATGTCGGTTCTAGAATCAAATCAAATCTGTGCCTTCTGGTCAACTCAGATTTCAGCTAAATCCTAATTAGTCACCTTTACAACACAGGTGTTAGAGGTTCAATTCTTATTTCTTCCCCAAAATGGACTCTGGAACCAACAAGAGGACCTAGTAATTTGTGAAAACTTTTTGTTCCATCTTTCTCCTCACAAAAATGCCAGATGACAGAGTGGAAAGATGATAATCAGTCTCTACTACAAAGAAAATAAAATAAGAATGAAAAAAGAGGAAGGAGTAGAGGTAATGAAATAATAAATAATAATTGTATTTATAACAGAATATGCTCAAAAGTAACATTTAATGCAATAAAGATTTTTCAAAGGATCACAAACTGAGCACACAGACCTGCCTTCACTCTGCTGAACCCTTGTTACAATCTCTACATTTACTATATCACGCAAATTAAATTCATTTAGCAGTCAACATGATATTTTTTTTAAAGTGAGCAATAAACATGTTGTAAATTATACACACATTCAAACATAGACTCACAAACAGTACAGCCACCTCCAACATACGATACACATACACAATAAATATTATAAATTATACAGTCATAAACAGCACAGCCATTTTCAACTTATAATACATATACACAATAAATGTGTACAAATTATACAATCACACATATACTCACAAACAGTATACACCTCCAACTTACAATACACACACAGAATAAATGTTATAAATTATACAATCACACATATACTCACAAACAGTATAGCACCTCCAACTTACAATACACAGACAGAATAAACGTGATAAATTATACAATCAGATATACAATCACAAACAGTATACCACCTCCAACTTACAATACACACACAGAATAAATGTTATAAATTATACAATCAGATATACAATCACAAACAGTATAGCCATTTTCAACTTGTAACAATACAGCTGGGATGACAGGAATATGGCTGCATGGTAGTCTGTGCATTTATCTACTAAATCAGTGTCCTGGGTTCGTTCTCTAGCAGCTGGAGAATTCTTTATTCCTAAAGAGTATGGCTCCAGGTTTGACCCAGCTCATAAAATGTGTATGGGATAATTACAGAGTTAATGAGGAAGCAAACTGGCAACCCCAGGTCATTATACCAGCCTCGGCTATGTGACCTACCTATCTATTTACCAAAACCTTTGATGTTGTTTTTTAAAACTTTATATTCATATTATTTATACCGCTATTAACATACTTTCAGACAAATAAATTTGCTGTGTGCAAGAAGAGTGTGTGGAAGGGCTGACTGTAAGAAAGGTCTGCATGCCCAATTTGCTACCCTTAGAAAATAATACTTATTTCTTCATTCATTTGAAGTCGTCCTCCTTGACCCCTCACAGACACTATTTACCACAGGACATATTTTACCAGTATCAGGACAGCCTCATCTATGAGGTTACTATTCCGTCTACAACTGAAAATAAATCCATACTTACACAAGGCATCAGTGAGCTAAGTGGGATAAAGATCAACGAGCCACATCGTAGTCCATAAGTCAGCCATTTTCGGAACCTGGTTACCTCAGGTGCACTCAGGTAGCCCACCTGTCACCACCATGATAAAACATGTTAGAAAAAAGAATAAGAAATTGTAATTTAGCAATTAATTTATTATTCTTTAAATCATGAGACACACACACAAAAAAAAAGAGTAACATTAATCACACACACAAAATCTCACCTCTGTTACTAATAATTTGTCACACAACATTCAATTTTAAGAATCACTTAATTAAACAATCACATCTCAAAATTTTATTTCATAACTTGTGCCTAACAAGTCCGTAAAATAACAACCTATATGGCATTACTATTCTATGTCTATAGAAAAGCTTCAGATGTTACTTAATGCATTATGTGTATGTCCTGTCTCTCTGCATGGATGTGAATGTTGGTCAATAAGCAGTAGTAAAGTGAAGACAGCATCGGAAGCCATGGAGAGGTGGCTCTTTTTATGAAAAGAGAAGAGAGAATAAATAATGGGCTACTGAGAGCTGAGGTGTCAAATGATCACTCATTAAAATCCCTTTGGGAAAAAACTGGAAAAATTTTTGGGGATTAAAACCAAAAAAAAAATTTTTTTTAATGAGGAGGCGTATTCAAGGAATGTCTCATCATTATGTAGCCTGCCCTTTACAAAACATCACTTCCATCATGGAACATTAGAAAACCATTCAGTTTTCTGCCATTTTTCCTGCCTTATAAACATTCATGCTCAGGGTGTCCCTTTCTTCTTCTCTTCTTCTTCTTCTTCTGCCTTCGACATCAGTCATGCTAAACATTGAGTCCCGTCTGGGTCACAAATAGGATTGTGCGTTTAAGGTCGCCATTGGTCCCCCATAGCTTCTCTTGCAATGTAGCTCCCTTGGGCCAGATTAACAGTCTTTGCTGGGAGAAGTTAGGGCAGTACTGTAGTATCAGGGTGTCCCTGATATACTGTATCCACCACTGAAATGGTCATCCCTGGCCTCTTTCAAGTGTCATACAAAACAACCAACCATTTTCACATGGAAACTAAAATTGCTACAGTAAACTTACTTCAACATTGAAGAGTGTTACAGTTCCCATCATAAGTGGAAGTAGCCAGGTACTATCTGCTGCAGTCAGATCAGAAAACCAGGCTAATCCCTGTTCAGACAGATCTTTACATCCATCGTGGCCTTCTGTTAGATGATTGTTTAAAAAAAAAAATTTAAAGTATGTGAAAAAAAATAATGATCGAAGTAAGCAGATTAAGCTCTGGAGGTATTAGATTTGGTTAAATGTGTGGTCAAGTTTGTTACAAAGAAAAAATGCATTTGAAATTTAATCCTCTTTTTTTCTCTTAGTTTTTACTGGCGATAAACTCCTGCAGATATTTCTGACTGTTCATCTACTTCTGGACTTTAGTCTTGTTCCAGAATTTAAATTTTGTGTACACATCCATTCTGCAGATATGGCTTATTTGCATGCAGACTGTTGGTTCCTCGCCTCTCAGGATAATACTCCGACATCAAAGGAAACACCTCAAATAAGTCACCTTTTATGACATGCCTGATGGGAGTGGGGGGGGGGGTTTAGAGGGTTTCCCCCCCCCCCCCCCCTCCCATGTAATTTGACCCCAGAACCAGCAAGGAGAGAAATTTAATTACATAGTTTGTAAATGTAAAGTATAAGAGAAAAGTTAAAGAATGTGACCACAGAGAATTCTCTCTGGCACTTGGCTGCCACCCCTTGATGATGAGATATCTAATATCTGAGGACACAACATGACCAGCCAAGACCGAATGGCTGCCACCCCTTGATGATGAGATATCTAATATCTGAGGACACAACACGACTAGCCAAGACCAAATGGCTGCCACCCCATGATAATGAGATATCTAATATCCAAGGAGACAACATGACCAGCCAAGACCTAATGGCTGCCACCCCTTGATAATGAGATATCTAATATCCAAGGAGACAACATGACCAGCCAAGACCTAATGGCTGCCACCCCTTGATAATGAGATATCTAATATCCGAGGACACAACATGACCAGCCAAGACCTAATGGCAGCTAGTCAGTAGGTGAAGTCCTGAATCATGACCTTGTTTCGGCGAACGAAAGAAGAAGAAGAAATAACCTTGTTTCATTCTAATGAGTCTCTCGGTCTGAGCCTACAGAGGTTGGGAGCTTTTTAACACAGTCCCTGTGAGAATAATAAGCTGGGAGAAAAGTCTCTAAGTCAGCTTCACTTTGATAACTGCAAGGGCTTTCTATGACTCAGAAATCCTGAACCATAATGTAATAGAGCACAGCTGAAATTCAGTCTTCAAAGGAATGACAACTAACCAGCCAATCGAAGAAGGGAGACAATTACTAGATCTGGTTAAAGAGATAGAAGGGAGATGGACTGAGAGGCTTTCCTCTTCTACCCCAGTGTTCTGTTGATGTTGTGGCGAAGTGAAGCAGGTTACCTGCTTTTGCATCAAATGCTGGAAACAAAAACGAGTAATAATTAGCTTCTATTTTAGCATACAAGCACTAATTCCGAGCAAATTCAAGAACCATCCACACAGAGTGTGCAAGACATAGATACTGATCATCTACAACCATAATTACAGATGTGTCCCAATATGGGTTGCATTTTTTTTTTTTTTTAAAGCCCCCAACTCCAGCCATAGTTGGGGGCCCTAAATATAACCTAATGGGGTTTCTGGGACTTGCACCCGGGCGATTCTTATCCAAATGGTGGCAATTTGTATCACCAGGTGTTTATCACTCGCTGTGGTGGGGTTTTAAACGTCACTCACTCACGATCACCTACCATCATGGAAAACTCATATAGCTCACTCAAAATGAACCAATCTGTTTTGTTCAATAACACATTGTAAATTACCACATAAGTCAGACAATTATTTCCCTTCATCATGTTAAGAGTCATATTTATATTCCTGAAGTGTAGTTTATCTAAACTTTAATACCACCAGCAGGACATTCACAATGCTCTTAGCTTCAACATTGCCAGATTACATAATCATGGAGCATCACTTTTAATAGCAAATGTAAACAATGTATAGTGTCTGAAACTGTACAACATATACCAAGATTAGGATCTGCGGCCCTCGTTGACATGTTCCGTAAAGCGTATGACACACTGAGCCACACAGACATCTGTAACCAAAAGGCAGCGATTCCTTTCATTGGATGACAATTGTCCCTGATGTAAAGCTCATTCAGGATGCGTTTGAACTGAAAAAGACGTACATGGTTGAGTTGAGGCCATTGCTTGAATAGGAGGATATTACTGGGGCAAGCCAATCCCGAGTCAAATTTTCTCTCGCTTACACATATACATGCACTTTGCACACATAGACCATAATTATCATCATCACATGCCCTGCCAGCTGGCGTAGGTGTTCAAGTATCTCCACAGATCTCGGTCTTTGGTGTTCTGGATCAGTTCCACTCATGATACCTCTCCATGCCACTGTCATAAGCCATCCACCATCATTTCTCTTTGCCTGCCCCTGCTACCAGTGATCTTTCTAGTCATCGTGATATTTTCCAGTGTGCCTTTTCTCATCACATGACCAAAGAAATTGGTTTGTCTCCATCTCATTGTTGTATATAATATTCTACTTACATTAGCCATTTCCAGGCAATCATTGTTAGTTATTCTGGCAGTCCAAGGTATTCGCAACATTCTTCTCAAGAACCTCATCTCAGTTGCCTCCAAACTCTTCTTAATTAGTTTGCTCAAATTCCAAAATAGATACACACACATATACATACTATGTGCTCACACATAAACATACAGAATGATCTAGATAGAGATAAAGAAGAACATTGAGTATCATGTTCTAAATTGCAGTTAAGGTATAAAAACTTACAAATCCTCAAGCTGAAGACAGATGAAGGATGAACTCTGGGAACCAGAATTTACAACAACAACAAAAAACACACCTCATAATGCATTTAGTAAAAAGTGAGAAGTTTAAATTTATGCATGAAAACTGTGGGCAATGATTGGCACTGAGTGAAAGTTTGTTTGATAAGGAGACAATAACTTATCATGAGATCATAACTGCCTGCGAAATAATGAGATAATAACTTATCATAAGATCATGACTGCCTGCCAAAATAATGGTCTGCATTTTAATCCTAGAAAACGCAGGATTATTTGTTTTGACCAGTGTCATCAAACAAATTTTCACAACTGTTTGGAACTGTCTAAAGAGAAATAGCATTATTTTACAAGTCTTGTACAAATGCTTGCTGGTAAATGATTACAGATAAGAGAACACACATTTTTATTATACTCCATCCTTGCTCGCTTCTGATCCCATCCAAACTGGTGCATGGCCATTGACACTTCCAACTTGAGTCTTTCTGCCTTTTCTTTCACTTCCGGCTGTAAATTCTGAAGTTTGGCCATGTTGCGATAGGAGTGCACAGTAAAAGGAATCATCACCACCACCCGGAGCATGAAGGCTGTCAGGATAATTGTGAACCACCAGGGCAGGCCTGAAACATAAACACAGCAAATCAGCAGGTCAGGTCGTTATCAAGATGTGGGTGGCTGAGGGACAAGGCAATGTGGACTGGCACAAAGGGAGAACAAGTTTGAATTTGTGGAAAGCCCTGAGCATTTTAAGTGTATCAACTGCTAAGTAACATACCTTCCTGATTAGTTCTCATAATATTTTATCATCTGTTTTCTTATTCTTTTAACTGTCCATTTTATGCCTTTCAGAATTATAGATGATGTACAGTCTTAAAGAGAAGGTTTTTATGACAGCTGTGTATAAGATTGTTTTCATTCTTTCAGCTATTCCCCCAATCTATGATTTCAGAGCTGCAGTTACAATGAACAACCACTACAGAGCTGGAGTGTTACAATAAACAACTACAACAGAGCTGGAGTGTTACAGTGAACACCATGACAGAGCTGGAGTGTTATAATAACTATGATAGAATGAGTGTTACAATGAACAACCATGACAGAGCTGGAGTGTTACAATGAACCATGATAGAGCGAGTGTTACAATAAACAACCATGATAGAATGAGTGTGTTAATAAGAAAAACAATAAAAGAGCTGGAATATGTTGCAATGAACAATTATAAAAAACAGTGTCAGGGTGCTGAATTGCCTGTAATGATAGTGGATCCAGGTCATACTGTCATTTCATTGGTTTCTTTCATGATCAAATTTAATAACCAAATCTATGTGTCTAGTGTTCGCTTCGGCTTTGAGTAGTTCCAGCAATGCTACAACTATATAACTCAACGTCCTCTCCCCTTCCCCCACCCTTTTCCACCACACACGAGTCATCCCATCCAGACAACACTCCCACATTAAATTATTTATGTTACTACATACCCCATAAAATCAGACATATCATTCATAGGATCTACAATAATTTGTATGCCTCACCAAGCATTCCATCCACAGGACTAGCTTTAGCTTAATCCACATTCTACTGCAGGAAGACATCTATAAGATCTCTATGATCAACCATGAATTTATTTTATTACAATTTCAGATCCATACAAAACCAAAAACTGATTTCAGTACTTTTGGCACTCCAGTAAGTTGTGACAGCTTAGACTCTTGTGAGGTACATTCTGTGAGCAGCAAGGATTAACAACAGATGGAACCAAATCAGGACCACACACAGTAACAGGACAAATGGACCAAATACATTAAGGAGACTTAACCAGACAAAAGATCTCCCCAAAAGCCACTGGTAGTGATGTATGCTGTTTGTTTTGCTTGTCAATTACTAAGAACAGGAAGAAGGTATAGAAGAAGGAAACTCACACACATCAGTGATAAAAAACAAGATACAAAAACCAACCTGTTATCTGGTGAAAGTAGACTATGACTTTTTCTGCTCCATAAATGGGGAAGAAATCACCAAAGAGGATCTCCTTCGAGGTACTTGTGCTCTTAGCTGCTAGCACCGCTGCTTCTAGGGAAGGTGATGTTGATAATGTTCTACAAGTTGTTGAAAAGTTTCTAGATATACTGAAGCTATGATCTGATGTGGAAGTGGAAGTGCTGCCAAGAAGACTGTACTTTTTCTTGGAATAAACACTGTGGATTCTGGCGGATCTATCTGCAAATGCAAATCTTCTGGTAGGGTACGGGAAATGATGCAAGCCTCTTTCGTCTTGACTGAGCCATTCCTTTTTTGTTACATCTCCTCCACACTGACTGCAATATGCTGTATTTATCTGGGATGTCAATGCTGGATTTAATACTGTAATCTTTGATAAATAACATGACGACTTTGAATTAATTTTCTGCAAAAAGGATTTCTGCAAGGTGAATTTGCACACACCAATCATTTTCAGCTCTAATAGTTCTGTAAGACACTAGCAGGCATGAATATTTTTTCATTCAAGAAATCAGTTATGTAGACTAAGGACTGTCCATGTGGCCCCCGCTGGGTTTCCAGACATTGAGATGTTTTCAACAGTGAACAGGGACTGATTTTACTGATCACAATTTATTCCTGGAGAAAATAAATATCTTGGGTAAGTATCACTTATGTAATAATACAATGTAATCAACACAATGACAAGAATAATAATGTCACTGAAATATAAACATGGGACTTTGACTTTTCATGAGACTAGTATATTTACAAAATAGAACTTAATTCTTGTTAAAGGAAATCATCAGCATGTGCCATCAACAAAGCAAAAGCATGATTCACCATTCCACATGATCACCAGAATCAGGGATCAGGTCAGTGATCTCGTCCAATTCCTTCCACATCGCCAAGCTGTCAAGATAATTAATCTCATTGTTTTTCACTTGATCTTTGCCATCAATCTTGCCAGTTGATACAAAATTTTCGAGTCTATTCCTTCTATGATTGACTGCGTCTAATTTATCTAATCAGTTTTCATCTGCACACTCGTCGTCGACCAGGTCACCCACTGACTTGCCTGCAGATGACTTCGTCACCAATTAGACAGTTTTTGCATCTGTCTTCTTTGATCGCATCAGCACTGCAGGAGTCCTTATCAGGGCTCTTAGTGGCGTGCAATGCTAAGCAATTTTATATGGCACTCATCATCTAGTCACAATTATAACCTAACGCTTTAGGGACGCTGGTGAATGTGGTGATTTTTTTTCTCTGTCCAGCAAAGCACCCATCTACCTACCTAGCTTTCATTTCTTGAGGGGGAATGCCTCATTTGTTTTTCTATCATTCCATGATACTACTATCTTCTTCTCAAAAGTCACATTTCCACTGCTTGTAGCGTAGGCTATCTTCCGGTCCCAAATTATCAATGCAGAAAATATACCCTAACAGGGCCTCAGTCACGTGTCAATTTCGCACTTCCGGAGACTATACCGCCACAGCCAAATTGTGAACTTCCGGGGACTATACCGCCACCGCTGAGAGTATCCCCCACACCGCACGGATTGGAGCTAAACTAGATGGCTGGGACACACGAGCAAATAAAATCCAAGGCAGCTGCAGGAAATGCGCTATCTGCTGCTCGTGAGGCCCAGCCATCTAGCTCAGCCCCAATCCATGACGCGTGAGTGGCGTGGGGAATACTCTTGGCGGTAGCAGAAGTGTGCAATTTAAGTCGCTGAAAGTGCGCAGCTGACACGTGACTGAGGCCCTGTTAGGGTATATTTTCTGCCTCGATAATTAGGGACCGTTATTCAGAAGATAGCCGTAGCGTCTGTTAACTGTCCATGTCCCATGCCATATGAATTATAACAACACCGGTTTCATAGAACATTGTAACACACACTCTCTTTCTTGGTGCAATCTACATTTTTGTACAAGACTTATCATTGGAAAAAAAAAAAAGAAACAGTGGGACAGGTGAGAAAGAAAGAGGTAGAGACGACACAGACTGTGATGATGATATGATATATCCCTGGTGTCTGAGACTCAGGACTTCAGGCCATATGGATAGTGTAGTCGCCATTAACTGTTTAGGTTAGGAGCTTATTAGAGAAGAATCCAGAATTTTACCGATGAAGTGATATGTCAGTTTGTTCTGATCCGTCAGGCAGATTGGAAGGTGCCATGAAGGTTATTATTTCATTCTTTGTTGTTATTTCGCACCGGCCGGCATTTCCGAATTATCCTAACTCAGTACTGTAAACACCTGCACGCTTCCGGTTGATATTTCTTACAGAGCTGTTCAAATTGAAAATTTTAAACGGGTTTTAAGGCAGTCTTAAACTCTATTCCTTACTTACGTCCTTTTCAGGACGTAATTTTTTCTTATTTGAAGCCCCACTCTGGCTTTTGCCAGGGGCCGCAATATAGGCAGGCCATCAATATGGCCAATTGTCTGAACGCGGTTTCTGGGACCTCTCCACGGTGATCCTCATCCACATGGTGGCACTTTGTGTCATCGGGTGTTTATCGCTTGTGTGATGTCCTAGTGGGGTAGAAAGTCAGTCAGTCACAGTTTGCACATTGGGCTTGGTATCTTTCTACAGAGAGGTTGGTCACTCATCGATATGTCCCACAGAGGAGGAGTAGGAGAAAAAAGAGGGGGAGGGGTGTGAAGGAGGAGGAAGCAGAAGATTATTCCAGCTAAGTCAAAAGGTGATATAAAATGAAAGCGGATCACATTCAAAACACTACAGGCATGTCTTCTTTTTTTTTCGTTGAGGACCGGGCCGATCACCCCTAACTCAGTATAAAACTTGATTTCGAAAACAAACAATGAAAGATGCCCTCAGGGTCTTCCGAAAGGAAGGGAGAATACACACCACTATTGATGCCAGCGGTAACCCCACCTTTTCCCGAATCGAGATTTCTGCCCAACGACCGGGCTGGATATGTACATGTGGGAGCAGCTTCACGGGAAAGCATGGTCTGAGAACGCACGCCAGAAGAATAAAAATCGAGGGTGCGCCACGCAGTAAGCGTCGGAGCATAGCTACTCCAGTAGTGGATGATTTGTCAGGAAACGACGGGCTGGGCGACCCCCACTCGCCCGGAAAGGCCAAGACCGGAGGCGCACTTTTGAAGATATCCGACGAAGTGTGGACAAAGATCAAATTTTCACCCGCAAGCGATAGGGCGTTATGATGCAAACTGGAGGGTATACTTTGTGAGAAAATTAATGGTGATCTTTAGAAAAGTCGTCAGGTGACAAGCTAACACGGTTTAGTTACATGATCTACGATCACTGTGCCTGCGAGTTCGGGACAGTCGAGAAGACGCAACCGGGCGTAACGCACGGAAAAAGCAGGAGGCATAGAGACATTGAGAAGTGCCGAGCAGACAAGAACTCAGAAAACGGTTCAAAGCCGCTACAGGCAGCGAACAGGAGGGAATTTAAGAGGTCTGGCTACACCTGAACAGCAGACACAGTTCCCTCTGTCGCGCTGAGTGGTTCTGTAAGAACAGACAGAGAACCAACAGGTAGTAAGAGAAGTTCTTTAGGGGCTTCGTTCCAGTTTGCCCGTGACCTGTTCGAGCAACCAAAGTCTTGGAGTCTGGTGGTCGCTAAAGAGGAGTTACTGTCTTTACTTGCTTGATGACAGTAAGAGAGAAGCATCACAGTGTGAGACCCTTGTTTGGACCTGTTTAAATCCCCGGCTCTCTAGCGTAGTTGGCTAAACCGGATTGCGCGGTGAGCGGGTGACGAACTCCTTGTGGTACGGGTTCACTTCCGGGGGTAGGCATAAAAGCCACATTTCTCCTAGTTTTACTGTATTTAAAATGGAATCAAGGCCGAAGGGTTGCGATATCCATAATACCGAGCCTAAGGATTAACAACTCATGGCTTCTGGATACTAAAACAAAAGCAACAAACCTGTTTTAATATATCAGCATACATGTAGGCAGATCCATCCATCCATCTACCATTGCATCTATCTACGAACGTAACCATTGTACCACCCATTCATCTACCCACACCATTTATCTCACCATCCACTCAATGCTATTTTTCACCGCTTCCTTCCATTCTGGCTGTTACCAGCTGTGACAACACGGGAGAAATATTTCAGTCCGGCAAGAGTTAATTGCAAGTTTTAGTTAAAAGAATTGCGCACGTAAAATAAATATATTTAAACATAGACGCTAAAAGAATAAAAAGGTACGAAGGCGCACATAATTTATGACGTTTTGTGGTGTTACTAGGAGATCTAATTTCGTCACAACACAGAACGATTGCCAGCCATACCATCGGCCTAAAACCCACAATAATAATACCTTATACGAGTTCAGGTGAGATTTATAATGGTAGGGAGTAGCTGAGATCCCCTATAAGCCTTAGCTGTATCCTAAAATATTTTATTGAGATCCCACTATTCTATATTCTACCATTGTATAAATATTCCGTGACTTCATCAACCTTGATACTTGTCCGTTGGACAATTCACTAGTCCTTACATATTATGACGTTCTTAAAGTTACTATTCCCCGTTAGGACTATTCAATAGCGAACCCTTCTTCCCTCTGTCACTCTTATATTCATTCGGTCTACTTGCGTAAAGATCTTATAGTAGAAACCGTGATCCTGTGCCATGTGGTATCATCAGTTGGGTATACATTATATTGTTTATGTCATTATATTATGCAATACATGATTTGAGTAAAAGTCGTCAGCTTTGTGGGCATATCGGGTTGGCCTATGTTTATAGACCAAGTGGTACCTAGGTGTTGATATGGTCAACATCACACCTGCCGCCTTTACTTCCCATTACTATACCTGGTGTCCGTTAAGGCGAAGTCGACCTGGGTTGGAACTCGAACTAATAATTGTCCAATCCGCAGGCGAATGTGTGTCCGCTTAATTATGTCAAGTTTTATATGATCGTGCCATAATTTAGATAGGTATAAACCAACATATTATAATAGGGTGGAGATGTATAATTTTGATTTACTTGTAGGGAAAGACAACATATGAACCTTGTTCTTTCTTGCTTACTACTCTGAAAAACACCACAGACACCGCAACACCTCCACCTGCTCCAGATGTGTCGACATAATGCTCAACACAGGGCTAAATGATGTATTCCGCAGGTTCCTGTGTTACCGTAGTCCTGCTTGCCTGTTTACCAGAGGACCATATTCCTGTGTTACCGTAGTCCTGCTTGCCTGTTTACCAGAGGACCATATTCCCGTGTTACCGTAGTCCTGCTTGCCTGTTTACCAGAGGACCATAATCCTGTGTTACCGTAGTCCTGCTTGCCTGTTTACCAGAGGACCATATTCCCGTGTTACCGTAGTCCTGCTTGCCTGTTTACCA